AAAAAAACAACAAAAAAAAACCTGCTTAAAATGTGAATTTTGTGGGTGGTTTCACTCTTGGCGGGATGGGAGGGGCAGGAGGGGTTTGTAGGATCGGGGAATATCCCGAGTTTGGTGGTGCTGTGGTTGGATTTGATGGTCTCAGAGAGGGGTTTTCCTGCCTTAAAATTCCATGATTGTATGTTCAGGTTAGAAATTTAGGATTCAGGGAATGCCGCTTTTCCTTTCCTGGTCGTGTGGCCAAAATTTCAGTGTAGGGAAAGGGATCTTCAGGGAAAATGGGAAATCCTGGAGGGAAATAGGAAATCCTGTAGGGAAATGGGAAATTGTGTAGGGAAGTGAGAAATTGTGTAGGGAAGTGGGAAATCCTGCAGGGAAGTGGGAAATCCTGCAGGGAAGTGGGAAAGCCTGGAGGGAAGTGGGAAATCCTGGAGGGAAATGGGAAATCCTGCAGGGAAGTGGGAAATCCTGTAGGAAAATGGGAAATCCTGGAGGAAAATGGGAAATCCCAGCGGGAAGTGGGAAATCCTGTAGGAAAATGGTGCCGAAGGGGGTGGGGATACCCACCATTCCAAAGGAAAGGTTGGAATGATGACACTGGAGGGGTTTTCCAGCCCTAATGATTCTGAGATTCTGTGTTCAGCCAGAGTTTGGGAATTGAGAATTTAGGAGATCCCACTTTTCCTTTCTCGGTCATGTGGCCAAAACCTCTCTTTAGGGAAAGGGATCATCCAGGAAAATGGGATATCCTGTAGGAAAATAGTGCCAAAGGGGGTGTGGATACCCACCATTCCAAAGGAAAGGTTGGAATGATGACACTGAAGGGTTTTTCCAGCCCTAATGATTCTGGGATTCTGGGATGAGCTGGAAAAAAGCTCCTCTTGCCACTGGAGGTGGGCGGGACAAATCACACCAACCCCAAAGCCGGAGCTAAATCCTCTTTCCTGCTGCAGATGAGCCACTCCCAGGCTCTGTGCTGATCCCAGGTATCCAGAGGGAGCTTCTTCCCGAGGGAGATGTTGCTGCGTGCCCGGATCCTGCTGCTGGCCCTGGCTGTGGCACCCTATGGAGCGCTGGCTGTCCGGGAAGGTACGGGACACATGGGACACCGGGAATGCAGCACCTGGGGGGGGAAATGTGGGATACAGCAGGGGGGAAAGGCCTTTTCCAGGGAGCTCGTGCCATGGATACACCCAGGGATGATCCCAGGGTGGAGCTGGAGTGCTGGTACCTCCAACTTTTCCATAGGATCCTTCCAGTTGGGATCATCCAACAGAGAACCTGAGCTGGTCCTAAAAGGCAGGGATTAGGATTTATGGGAAATCAGGGCTGTGATCCTGCTCCTGGCATGGATTCACCCATGGATACAGCCATGGATTCACCCATGGATACAGCCATGGATTCACCCATGGATACCCCCATGGATACCCCCATGGATTCACCCATGGATACCCCCATGGATTCACCCATGGATTCACCCATGGATTCACCCATGGATACCCCCATGGATTCACCCATGAATTCACCCATGGATTCACCCATGGATTCACCCATGGATTCACCCATGGATACCCCCATGGATTCACCCATGGATTCACCCATGGATACCCCCATGGATTCACCTCTCCCTGGCTCCGTGTTGCCCACGAGCTCTTTGGGGGTGAGGCGCTGGATCCCAAAAAGCAGGAGCCAGAAGAATTCCAGGGAAAAACCAGCAGGATCCCAGCACATTTTTAGGGGTCCTGCAGGAGGGGGAGGCTCCTCCTGAACATCCTACAGGGCTAATCCCGGGAATCCTCCCCTTCTCCCTCCCAACAAGCCCCCAGGTCGGAAGGTCTGAATTCCCTGGGATTAACTCAGTCAATCCCACAAGGAGTTCATGGAGTCTTTGCCACCATTTGCAGGGTGAACTCACTGGAGCTCCTGCCCCTCCATCAGGCCAATATCCCGGATTTTAATGCTGGTTAATTCCCAGGAGGGAGCAGGGCAATAAATCCCCCTTTCCAGGTGTCTCTGGAAAAGCCAGGATTGATGGAATGGGGCTGGTTTTGGAGCTGTTGGCACTGTCCAATTAATTCCAAACTGGTGCCTCCTCCAGGAGCTTCTCTTTATTTATCAGCGTTCGAGGTCTCTTTCCCAGGAGCTTCAATGCCCCTCATCGAAACTCCAAGTTTTTCTGTTCCTGCTAAAATCTTATAAAATTACCTATATCCTGTCTCTGAGATAGCACGAGCAAGCAAGGCCCTATCCTAATTCCACCTAAAAATTTACCTAGTAAGCAACTAAGGCCACAATCTTATATTATTGCTTTATATTTTGATAATTTCTCGCCCCTCCGGCAGCCGAGGCGATGCTGGGCCCGCGGGACCTGCGTGTGAGCGAGCGGGGCCACGGCTCCCTGCGGCTCAGCTGGACCCCCCCACCGGGCACCGTGACGGGGTATCTGCTCCACGTGCAGCCCCTGCTGCCCTCGGGGCAGCCACAGCCAGCAGAGCAGCGGCAGGTGGGTGATGATCCCGCTGGGCGCAGCAGCAGGCAGAGTTCCCAGGGTTGGGTTGGAGTTCCCAGGGTTGGGTTGGAGTTCCCAGGGTTGGGTTGGAGCTCCCAGGGTTGGGGTGGAGTTCCCGGGGTTGGGTTGGAGTTCCTGGGGTTGGGGTGGAGTTCCCGGGGTTGGGGTGGAGTTCCCGGGGTTGGGTTGGAGTTCCTGGGGTTGGGGTGCAGTTCCCGGGGTTGAGTTGGAGTTCCTGGGGTTGAGTTGGAGTTCCTGGGGTTGAGTTGGAGTTCCCGTGGCTGGGTTGGAGTTCCCGTGGTTGGATTGGACTTCCTGGGGTTGAGTTGGAGTTCCCAGGGCTGGGTTGGACTTCAGGGGGTCAAGGTGGAGTTTCTGGGGTCGAGGTGGAGTTCCCAGGGTTGGGATGGAGTTCCCAGGCTCGGGTTGGAGTTCCCGGGCTCGGGTTGGAGTTCCCGGGCTCCGGTTGGAGTTCCCGGGCTCGGGTTGGAGTTCCCGGGCTCGGGTTGGAGTTCCCGGGCTCGGGTTGGAGTTCCCGGGCTTGGGTTGGAGTTCCTGGGGTTGAGGTGGAGTTCCTGGGGCTGGTCTGGAGTTCCCAGTGTTGATTTTCTGTTCCCAGTGTGGGGGCAGATTTCCTGGTGTCCCTTCCCAAATCTTCTCAAACCTTCCCTTTTTCCGCTCCCTTTTTTCCCCACTTCTCCCTTCCCCTTCCCAAATCTTCTCTCCTCTTCCCAAACCTTCCCTTCCCCCTGTGTCCCGTGTCCGTGTGCCCCTGATCCCACACTCGCAGTGTCTTTCCTGGGTCTGTTTTCTGAGGTGACCTCTGAAGGTGCTCCCGAGCCCTTCCCATCCCAGGGGGTGACGATGTCCCTTGTCCCCCCCTCCCTGTGTGTGGCAGCTGGCGGTGGGCGGTGACACCGACACGCTGCTGGTGACAGACCTGCGGCCCAGCACCGAGTACGTCCTCACCCTCAGGGCCACCCACGGGGACGCCCTCGGACAACCCGCGGCTGCCACCGGCAAAACC